ATTACTTCAAGGAAATGATAAAGTAATGATCGTAAATGTTCTTCCTTGAGTTGCGCCACCCCGCAGCAGTCCATTATGGACTGGCCTGAGGTCTTGCTACAAACAAGCAGCTGCTGGAAGAGAGTGGGTGGGTTGTGTTTAGTCTCCTTGCTAAAGAAATTAGGCAAAGCTAAAAAGATGTTTGGTGGCTAGTACTATGGCTGAGACCCTATATGTACTGTTAAAGTTTCAGCTCCTGAACCAAGCCGGAAACTCACCAAGTTCTCTTCTTTTTTGTAATACTGGATGCATCCATGTGCTACGTTTGTTTTTCTTTTGAAAAAGCCAAAGGAGTACCAGTTCGCCATCACTTGAAGTTAAAGTAGACTCCATTTTTGTCTTCTCGCTTCTACCTGCGACGCTGTAGGTTGTTAAGTGAAGGTCCCACCCTCCTTTGCCTCTGATTGGCTATAAGTGCTGACCGTTTGGCTTGAGCCTGTGATGATGTTTCCAGCTTTTCTAGCCAATCAGAGGTGAAGGAGGCGGGACTTTCCCCGGGAAAAGTCTTCCCCGGGATCTGTCTTTTTTCCCCCGGAAATTCGCAAAATCGCATCAGGCTTGATGTGTATAGTCAGGCGCAAAATTGGAATCGGAATTGTTCAAAATCAAACGATACCCAACCCTAGTCGTTACTGAAGTTGGTATAACTAGAGAAGCAAGCAGTCCGCAACATTCATCCCTCGAGGGGGTGTCTAATTCTGTGTCACGGTGTGTTTGACCCTAAATTAATTTTACGGAATACCCCTTTAGAGCAAATACAGAGGAGCAGGGTGAATTTCCCCCTGTAGAATCCTGTACATTTTTGTTTATTCTACATGTTTACTCCAAAGACGGTGAACAACTCAGCTGTCAGCTGAATTTCTGCAGAACAAGTGCTGTTTACAGAAAAACAGGTGACTCTCTCAGCGATGCGTGGGAAATAAAGAAAAAAAGAGAAAAACTCTGGCTTCAGTTTAAAGACATATTAGGAAAGGTGCACATTGTACAACACTGAAAACATGAGCACTTCTCCTGCAACACGGAGGAGCATTCACAACTTGAGGTGCACTGCATTCAGACTGTACATGCTTTCTCTGAATTCAGAAGCTTCATCTCACATACCCCCAAAATATCTCTCACACTACAGGGGGCTCAAACATCCCCCCTCAGCTCTACTACTACATGTGTATGTACCCTACTTTGTTTAGTCTCTCTATTACAGACTATTGCGACCTAATGTGCACATTTGTGCAACGCACACCTGCAAAGCCTTACACTTGGCATACTGCAGCCTAAATGTTAGTGTGTGTGTCTGTGAAGTGTGCATGATGCGGTCTCCCGGGAAGACCTTCACAGGCTCCACTGACAGGGCAAAGCTGAGGTAAGATGACAGCCATAAATCCCACCGCCGTGCTGCATAACCTTACACACAGGCTCATTTCAACACGCTCACGACGCTAGAAGTGCATTTAAAGGCAGGACGTGGATGTTATTCGGATAGGTCTGGTGTGATCTGGAGGATTACCAGCCTAATATTACATAAACACAACCGGAACCCAAATCATATTAGCAACCCCGTTTGTTTCATCCTCCGCAGCCCCCAAAAATAACAAGCTAACAGCACACTCACGGTGAGAGGGGAAGTTTCAATGTCCGGGAAGGTCGGGGGTCTCCTCCGCAACTTCACTATGAGACACAGACGGCTGTTTTCCTCCGTGTCGTCGCTGTCGGTGGAGAAAAACGAACACAGAGCGGCTCTATGGTCGCATGTACTGCAGTGCTGCTCACAGTCTGCTGTCCGCCGTCTTCTTCTTCTAGTGCGTTGTTTAATCTGACGCGGTGCGGCTGAGTGACACACCAGCGCCGCCGTGTGGTGAGGAGGCGCTACTGTTACTACGATGCATAGATATGATCCACGCTGCTGTGTGTGTAAACGTTTTGGTTTTTTTCTTCATAAATTAAAAAACAAATAATCAAACACCATGACATTCACATATGAAATTGGAAAAAATGTATATAATGGGAGGATGAAAATAAAAACAAAAAATATGAAAGAGAGGAGAAACCATAGACTGTATATAGAATAGACAGCTTCTACCTCCTTGCTGGGAGAAGCCACCTCGAGAACAGAACAGCACCCTCTGGTGACGGGCTGCAGTATAGGTCATGAATCCCACCTCCCCCAGCAATCACTATGGAGATGTGGACAAGCTTTAAACAAATTTTCACAGAATGTCAATTTGTCAGGGTTATAATTTATATTTAAAAAAAACAAGAATCTTTCATTTTCATTTGACCTGATAAATAAACAAAAATAATAAAAACCATTGACCTGTAACTTGTGTCATAACTATTATTGTATTTTCTATGATGTTTTATCGTTATTTTGTGAAGTACATGACGCTTTATTGACGACTGATTATAGATTGATTATAACAAATCTGTTCCAGCCCTGGTTGGAACATATAACATAATACATAATTTTATAATGCATAAGAAAAATTAATAAAAGCAAGAAATACTCATCCCTACAAGTTATACTTGTGCAAAGAATTTAATTCCAGTTTAAATAATCACAATATATTTTGCCATTTATATTTCTTGCAATAAAAACAATAAGTAAAAAGTCTTCAGTAAAATAAAGGAAATGGAAAGGATTAGCATTGCAGGGTAATAGATGAAAACACACAATGAACATATTTCTCTTTAAATGTGGTCCATATGAAGCTCTTTATCCTAAATTATGGTTATATAGATGGTGATGCTTAAAAAACATGACATGTCATTGCAAAACAGACAAATTAAATAAACATTAAAGTGAGGGTTCAGAATGAAATTGTTATTCTGCAAACTGAGCTGTCTAATCCTCTAAGGCCACCACTAAATAAAGCAGACATTCTTGAACTTCAACTTTAAGTTTTCTTAGTGTTTTAACTCTGAAATGTTTTGTACATTTAAATAAAAAGCTAAAACACAATCATGAGAAGACAAAGACTTATCGTATCTGCTAATGCAACTCTTTTTTTATAACATTATTGTTGAGATCATATATTTGATATTGTGGGCTCAGTGGTGCTTGCAGTTAAACTCTGAATGTTGTGCTTGAAGTGACAAGTAACAAAAACTTAACAGAAATTAGAATACATGTATCAGTAAAGACTTTACACATTCACTACATACACAGTACTGCTGTAAGCCTGAACTATTTGCTTATAATAAAACCCAGAATTCTGTTTCGAATCTTCTTCAGTTTAAAACCATAAATGAGTGGGTTCATTAGAGGGGGAATGAAAAGAAACTCGATTGCAATAAAGTTCTGAATGGGTTGAGGGATGTTTTTAGAACCATATCTGATTTGCATGATATCAAAAAGTAAAGTCACGAGAAAAATGACCAGAGAGGTAATATGTGGCACACATGTCTGCATGAACTTTGCTCTGTTTTCTAATGAATTCACACAGGTTTTGATGAGATAGACATAAGAGCCACATATGAAAACACCATGAAGAACATAAACTACTATTGTGATATAGGCGACTATGTTATTAAGAACAGTTTCAGCTGGAAAACAAGCGAGTGTAACAATAATCCAATTCACGCAGAATAATCTGGCAATATGATTACTGCACAGCTGCAGCCTGGAGGTCAGATAAATGTTAGTTGATATGACAGAGAAAGGTGTGATCACAGAGAAACACACCAACTTCACCAGTCTCTGCTTTGACATGAGGGAGTGGTACTTCAGCGGTCGACATATAGCCACATATCTGTCAAACGCCATTACTGCGAGTATTGATAGATCACCACAGGCAAATGTGTACATTACCAGAGCCTGAATATGACATCCAGCATATGAGATAGCATGAACTGGAGACAGCAGATCCCAAAGAAGCTTTGGGTAGAAACCAGTTGATCCGTACAGCCCATTAATGCAAAATACACACAGTAGAATATACATGGGTTCATGCAGGTTTTTATCTATGATAATCGTCACAATCAGAACTAGATTAACAAACAAAATCGAACAGTAACAAAGTAAAGTGAGAGAGAAAATCACAAAGCGATATTTCTTTGTCTCATTGAGACCTGAGAGAAAAAACATTGAAGAGTTGTCCATCAAGATGAGGAGGTGTAATTGGCAAAACCCAGTCCCTAACAGTCTGAGCTCTCTGTTTTTACTGGTATTAATGTACTTAAGATTTCATAAACACAAGATGGGAATTCAAATGAACCAATCAGTGTAGCTTGCCTGATCGTTTCCTGGATACAAACTCTAAACACAACACAAAATGAAAATTAGAACAAGTGGCATTTTGTTTGTGAAAAATTATCCTCTCAAATTTCATTATAGACTTCAATCAGGCAGTTTTTCCTCATATATGATTAAGAAGGAAACAAAACATTATCTTGCACTCTCTTGCAAACACTTAAAAAGTAAATGTGTTTATGAATATTTTGTGTCGCCATCTTAACAGGTTAAAAGATAATCTAAAATGGTTTTGTAAGCCTTCTGACTGTACTTAATCAAGCATTAGTGAAATTATTGGGCTCTAAAAAAAACCAGAATTCTGTCTCTAATCTTCTTTAATTTAAAACCATAGATAAGTGGGTTCATTAGAGGAGGTATGACAAGAAACTCTATTGAAATAAAGTTTTTGATGGTTAGAGATATATTTTTAGATCCAAATCTAAGATACATGATATCAAAAAGAATTGTCAGAAGAAAAGTCAGCAGGGAGGTAATATGTGGCACACATGTCTGCATGAACTTTGCTCTATTTTCTATAGAATTCACACAGGTTTTGATGAGATACATGTAGGACCAAACTATAAAAACACCATGAAGAACATAAACTACTATTGTGATATAGGCGACGATGCTATTAAGAACAGTTTCGGCTGGATAACAAGCAAGTGTAACAATAACCCAGTTTATACAGAATAATCTGGCAATATGATTACTGCAGAGCTTTAACCTTGATGCCAAGTAAATGTTAGTTGATATTACAGCAAAAGGAGTGATCACAGAGAAACACACCAACTTCACCAGTCTCTGCTTTGACATGAGGGAGTGGTACTTCAGCGGTCGACATATTGCCACATACCTGTCATAGGCCATTACTGCAAGAAATGATAGATCACCACAGGCGAAAGTGTACATTACCAGAGCCTGAATTAGACATCCAGAATAAGAGATAACATGGACTGGAGACAGCAGATCCCAGAGAAGCTTTGGGTAGAAACCAGTTGATCCATACAGCCCATTAATGCAAAATGCACACAGTAGAATATACATGGGTTCATGCAGGTTTTTATCTATGATGATGGTCACAATGAGAACTAGATTAACAAACAAAATAGAACAGTAACAAAGTAAAGTGAGAGAGAAAATGACAAAGCGATATTTCTTTGTCTCATTGAGACCTGAGAGAAAAAACACTGAAGAGTTGTCCATCAAGACAAGCTTTTGCATGGAGGGGATAAATCTCTTGCAGTCTGAACTCTCTCCTCTCAGTGGTAATAATGTACTCTACCATTACGTCATCAGAAGATGGAAACTGAAATGGACCAATCATTGTACTTTGCCTGTTCATCACCTGGAAACAAACTCTAAACTCAACACGTAATTAAAAATGAAATGGTGCTTTAATTTTGATTAAGAAAAATGCCCTCTTATATTTACTTTGGGTTAAAGTAATTATAAAACAAAGGAAAAAGTGAACTCTCAACACAACTACACAAAAATAACTTTGCTTTAATGTGAATAGTTATTACAAATAATGATCCCAGTGATCGCCAGTAAGAGGCTGATAACAGTATTAAATGAAAGAATAAATGATAAGGTGAAGTGATTGAGCTTGACAAATAGGCAACCTATGAGATGGGAACGATTGGTGTCAAAGCAATATTCAAGCGTAAAATTAATTTAGGGTTAAACACACCATAACACCAAGTTAGACACCTCCTCGAGAGATGAATGTTGCTGACTACTTGCGTCTCTAGTTATACCAACTTTAGGAACGACCGCACGATAGCAATACACAGCGGTCTAAGGAGCCAGCGCGCACACCTCAACCAAAACGCCACTCTATAGCCACAAATAATGCTCAGAACAGCACCTAACTTCATCAACAGTACATATAGGGTCCCAGCCATAGTACTAGCCACCAAACATCTTTTTAACTTTGCCTGATTTATTTAGCAAAGAGACTAAACACAACTCACCTACTCTCTTCCTGCAAGGAAGAACATTTAAAATCATCTCTTCATGGAAATGCAATCAGACCGAGACGCAAAGACAGAAGAACTACCACCTCTGCAGTGCAAAATGATTAATATGATTATTATTACTTAAAGGAAATGATAAAGTAATGATGATTAATGTTCCTCCTTGAGCTGTGTCACCAAGCTGCAGTCCTCAATGACTGATCCGAGGTCTCTCTAGAAATAAGCAGCTGCTGGAAGAGAGTAGGTGAGTTGTGTTTAGTCTTTTTGTTTAAGAAATTATGCAATGTTAAAAAGATGTTTGGTGGCTAGTACTATGGCTGGGACCTTATATGTACTGTTGGTGAAGTTAGGTGCTGTTCTGAGCATTATTTGTGGCTATAGAGTGGCGTTTTGGTTGAGGTGTGCGGGCTGGCTCCTTAGACCACTGTGTATTGCTGTCGTGCGGTCGTTCCTAAAGTTGGTGTAACTAGAGAAGAAAGGGGTCGGCAACATTCATCTCTCAAGGGCGTGTCTAACTCGGTGTCATGGCGTGTTTGACCCTAACCCCCAATTTCCACCGCATCTGGAAAGGCTACGAAAAGGCTGTATCCGCCGATTGTAGCTGATCGTAACCATTCAAGTTAATGTGTCATTTTCCACCGGCTTCTTTCCGTTCTGCTGCGGATTGCCGGACTCCGCTTTTATGGTTAGCCTCTGTGGCTTATATAGAGACAACTCGTTATCCCGTGATTGCACGTGAATCCGCAAGTTCTTGTGAGTTATTGTGGTTACCACCGTCTGTAATCCACACGCAATTCACCTCACCAACGGATCTGGTAGGAATTGGTGGACGGCAAAAATCGCCACCGTTCCAGATGCAGAAAAAATTGGGGGTAAAATAATTTTACGCTGGAGTTTGGAAGAGTTTGGAAGAAAAAAATATGTTTTTTGATGATGTTGGAGCTTATAGACAAGGACCCAGTATTAAAATAGAGGTTCAACTTTAGAGAAAGTTTCTTCCAGACTTGTAGCTCATTGTCGGTGGATTTAGTAGATGGCACCAAGTGTGGAGAGGGTTTCTGGCCTAGTTGGGAGGAATACTTCGAAGACCCTCTCAATCCTACCAACACGTCTTCCAGCGAGGAAGCAGGGTCAGGGACTCAGATGTGGGCTCCTCTAACTCTGGGGCTGAGGTTGCATAGTTGGCTCTTCTGCGGCAAGGCCCCAGGGGGTGGAAGAGATCCACCCAGAGTTCCTTTAGGCCTGGGATTTTGTGGGACTGTTGTGGCTGATATGACTGTGCACTATTGCAAGGATATTGTGGCATTGCCAGAGTTAGAGAATCCTCCATCAGGGTTCAACTCTCGACACAATTACACATTGGCAGACTGGTGTGGTGGCCCCCCATTTTAAGAAGGGGGACCAAAGGGTGTTTTCCAACTATAGGGGGATCACACTCCATAGCCTCCATGGAAAGGTCTATTGGTGGTCCTGGAGAAGAGGGTCTGTCGGAGAGTTGGACCTCAGATTAAGGAGGAACAAAGCCTGGCATACAGGTGCAGCTGATCAAACTGATGTTGGTTCACTGCTGTCTGTCTGTCCCATTTTCAGCTCAAATACAGTCCAGCACAAATGTAATTTATTAAATATATATGAAGTTTTAACCAATGAAACAAAGCAGAATGTATGCATGTATATACCTGGTGGTAAATGCTCCATTTTTGAAAAATATCTGAAATTTGTAAAGATCTAGACAACAAAGTAATAAGAAAGCAAAGATTCAACCAATGCAGCCTTAGAGCTATATCCCTCAGTTAACCACACAATCAGTCCTGATCATAACAATAAGCAAAATCTAAAAGAGTTATATACTTTTCAGGTAAACACACTTTTGAATTCAATAAAATCCCAGCATTTTTCTGAAAAATATGTCACATTTTAGTTATTCGAATAACAGGATTTTACACAACCATATCATACAGAAAAAGTGTTTGACCGAGGACACATCAGATTTTTTCTTGATTGAAATGGACAAAAACAGACACGTCAGGATGATTCATAAGTTTCTATCATCTGTTACATTCTCATGATACTTCCCTCAGTAAAGGTTATTGTAACCAAAGCAGAGTCTAAATGTTTAACTCTTTTTCTTTTTTTGTAAAGACTTGATTCAGATACAAAAATGTTTATACAAATTTTTATTCTTTAGAGCTGAAGAATATGATATACATACAAAGTAGTTTTGTCAGCCTCCTGACTGTACACAATCAAGCATTAGTGAAATTATTTAGCTCTAACAAAACCCACAACTCTGTTTCGAATCTTCTTTAATTTAAAACCATAGATAAGTGGGTTCAATAAAGGGGGAATGAAAAGAAACTCGATTGCAATAAAGTTCTGAATAGGTTGAGGTATATCTTTAGAACCAAATCGGAGATACAAAAGATCAAAAAATATTGTCACAAGGAAAATCAGCAGGGAGGTTAAATGAGGCACACATGTCTGCATGAATTTTACTCTGTTTTCTATCGAATTCACACAAGTTTTGATGAGATACATGTAGGACCAAAATATAAAAACACCATGAGGAACAGAAACTACCATTGCGACATAGACGACTATGTTGTTAAGAACAGTTTCGGCTGGAAAACAAGCAAGGGCAACAAAAACCCAGTTTATACAGAATAATCTGGTAATATGATTACTGCACAGCTTTAACCTTGATGACAAGCAAATGTTGGTTAATACTACAGCAAAAGGTGTGATCACAGAGAAACACACCAACTTCACCAGTTTCTGCTTTGACATGAGGGAGTGGTACTTTAGCGGTCGACATATAGCCACATACCTGTCATAGGCCATTACTGCGAGAATTGATAGATCACCACAGGTGAAATTGTGCATTACCATAGCCTGAATTAGACATCCAGAATAAGAGATAACATGGACTGGAGACAGCAGATCCCAGAGAAGCTTTGGGTAGAAACCAGTTGATCCAAACAGCCCATTAAAGCAAAACACACACAGTAGAATATACATGAGTTCATGCAGGTTTTTATCTATGATAATCGTCACAATGAGAACTAAATTAACAAACAAAATCGAACAGTAACAAAGTAAAGTGAGAGAGAAAATGATGAAGCGATATTTCTTTGTCTCATTAAGACCTGAGAGAAAAATTTCTGAAGCGTTATCCATTGAGACAAGCTTTTTTATGGAGTGGATAAATCTCTTGCAGTCTGAACTCTCTCCTTTTAGTGGTAATAATGTACTCTACCATTACGTCATCAGAGGATGGAGACTGAAATGGACCAATCATTGTACTTTGCCTGTTCATCACCTGGAAACAAACTCTAAACTCAACACATAATAAAAAATGAAATAGCGCTTCAACTCTGAAATAAAAAAAGCCCTCTTATATTTACTTTGGGTCGAAGTACTTACAAAATAAAGGAAAAAGTGAACTCTCAACACAACTACACAAAAATTACTTTTCTTTAATGTGGATATTTATCACAAATAATGAGCCCAGTGATCGCCAGTAAGAGGCTGACAACATTATTAAATAAAAGAATGAATGAGAAGGTGAAGTGATGAAGCTTGAGGTATAGGCAACCTATGAGATGGGACCAAAAGGTGTTAAAGCTACAGAGGGCTACAGAGTTTGGGTGGGTAGACAAAAATGTAATACGTTTTAACGATGTTGGAGCTTATAGACATGGACCCAGTATTACTAAAGAGGTTCAACTATAGAGTTGAAAGTTTCTTCCAGACTCGCAGCTCATTGTCGGTGGATTTAGTAAATGGCACCAAGTTAGGAGAGGGTTTCTGGCGTAGTCAAAAGGAATACTATGAAGACCTTCTCGATCCTACCAACACGTATTCCAATGAGAAAGCAGGGTCAGGGACTCAGATGTGGGCTCTTCTATCTCTGCGGCTGAGGTTGCTTAAGGCCTGGGCTTTTGTGGGGCTGTCATGGCTGACATAACTAAGCAGTGTTTTAAACATTAGCAGGATTTTACACAGCCATATCACATGGAAAAATTGGTTGACAGAAGACACATCTGATTTTTTCTTGATTGAAAAGGACAAAAAAAAAAAAAAAAAGACATGTTGAGACATGAGTTTCTATTAGGAGAGAGTGGGGTAAGTTGAGCCACCCCCTGTTGCTTGGAAATGGTAAAAGAAATTGATCATGTGACCAAATATTTAGGAGATGGGCATCAATTCATGGAGTCTGTGAAGGTTAGAAGCACATGGGTGAAGGGGTTAGACATTTATTTAAAAAAAAAAACATTTTTCACTCTTGAAAGTGAATTTAGTTTGTCATGAGTTTTATTAGAATTGTGTTCAGACCAAAAAAGATCATTTTAAATTTGTTTTACACATCAATAGTGGTATCTATGAACTACAACATGAGGTCAAAAACCTAGTATAAAAGTCCACCATTTTAGTTTAGAGGACTAATAAAGTCATCATAGTAGTTCTGGGGTAAGATGAGCCGGTGGTTCAACTGAAAAAGTACATGAGTCTGATGAGAGGATCAGAGTTTCAGTTCAGATTGTTGAAATGTTTTACTTTTTCTTTTCACAAATACAGCTGTGAATGTTCTGAATCACTTAAAGACATTCTCATGTTAAAATGACTTTTTACAAGACAGCTTTTTAGCAGGTATGTGCAATAATAATAATAAAAAAGAATGATTGTACCAGTTGAATAGAGTATAATAGATAAAAAACACATGAATGTGAAGAAGTGACGGTTATTTAGGGAGAGAGAAGGTGAGGGAGGGCTGTAGCCACAGGAGACCACTTTTTTTTGTCATGCTATATTATCAAGACAGTTTTGTTTACACTCATTTTGTTGGTTTGCAGGGATGCAAAACATCTTGAAATATATGTAGATACACTAGTTAGAGACAAAACTATGATTGACTTGATGTAGTGAAATATGAAAAGTGGCTCATCTTACCCCACTCTCCCCAATCTGTTACATTCTCTTGATTCTTCTCTCAGTTCTTTTTTTGGAAATACTTGATTCAAATACAAATATGGTTATACAAATTTGACATCTTTAGAGCTAAAAAATATTGAATACATACAAAGTAGTTTTGTAAGCCTTCTGACTGTACTCAAGTAATAATTGGCCAAGTTATTTAGTTCCAAAAAAAAACAGAAGTCTGTCTCTAATCTTCTTCAATTTAAAACCATAGATAAGTGGGTTCATTAGAGGGGGAATGACAAGAAACTCTATTGAAATAAAGTTTTGGATGGTTTGTGATATATTTTTAGACCCATATCTGAGATACATAAGATCAAAAAGAATAGTCAGAAGAAAAGTCAACAGTGAGATAACATGAGGCACACATGTCTGCATGAACTTTGCTCTGTTTTCTATAGAATTCACACAAGTTTTGATGAGATACATGTAGGACCAAACTATAAAAACACCATGAAGAACATATACAACTATTGTAGTATAGGATGCAATGTTGTTAAGAACAGTTTCAGCTGGAAAACAAGCGAGTGTAACAATAACCCAGTTTATACAGAATAATCTGGCAATATGATTACTGCAGAGCTTTAACATTGATGTAAGTAAAACATTAGCTGACATGAACAAAAAAGGAGTGATCACAGAGAAACACACCAACTTCACCAGTCTCTGCTTTGACATGATGGAGTGGTACTCCAATGGTCGACATATAGCCACATACCTGTCATAGGCCATTACTGCAAGGATTGATAGATCAGCACAGGCAAAAGTGTACATTACCAGAGCCTGAATTAGACATCCAGAATAAGAGATAACATGGACTGGAGACAGCAGATCCCAGAGAAGCTTTGGGTAGAAACCAGTTGATCCAAACAGCCCATTAATGCAAAACACACACAGTAGAATATACATGGGTTCATGCAGGTTTTTATCTATGATGATTGTCACAATGAGAACTAGATTAACAAACAAAATCAAACAGTAACAAAGTAAAGTGAGAGAGAAAATGATGAAGCGATATTTCTTTGTCTCATTGAGACCTGAGAGAAAAAACACTGAAGAGTTGTCCATCAAGACAAGCTTTTGTATGGAGGGGATAAATCTCTTGCAGTCTGAACTCTCTCCTCTCAGTGGTAATAATGTACTCTACCATTACGTCATCAGAGGATGGAAACTGAAATGGACCAATCATTGTACTTTGCCTGTTCATCACCTGGAAACAAACTCTAAACTCAACACATAATTAAAAATGAAATTGTGCTTTAATCTTGATTAAGATAAATGCCCTCTTATATTTACTTTGGGTAAAAGTAATTATAAAACAAAGGAAAAAGTGAGCACTCAACACAACTACACAAAAATAACTTTTCTTTGATGTGAATAGTTATTCCAAATAAATGACAAGGCAACTGAACAAATAAGTAGTGATGTCAGTGTTTGCCAGTGAGAATGTTGATAACATTATTAAATAAAAGAATGAATGAGAAGGTGAAGTGATGAAGCTTGAGGTATAGGCAACCTATGAGATGGGACCAAAAGGTGTTAAAGCTACAGAGGGCTACAGAGTTTGGGTGGGTAGACAAAAATGTAATACGTTTTAACGATGTTGGAGCTTATAGACAAGGACCCAGTATTACTAAAGAGGTTCAACTATAGAGTTGAAAGTTTCTTCCAGACTCGCAGCTCATTGTCGGTGGATTTAGTAAATGGCACCAAGTTAGGAGAGGGTTTCTGGCGTAGTCAAAAGGAATACTATGAAGACCTTCTCGATCCTACCAACACGTCTTCCAATGAGAAAGCAGGGTCAGGGACTCAGATGTGGGCTCTTCTATCTCTGCGGCTGAGGTTGCTTAAGGCCTGGGCTTTTGTGGGGCTGTCATGGCTGACATAACTAAGCAGTGTTTTAAACATTAGCAGGATTTTACACAGCCATAGCACATGGAAAAATTGGTTGACAGAAGACAATCTGATTTTTTCTTGATTGAAAAGGACAAAAAAAAAAAAAAAAAGACATGTTGAGACATGAGTTTCTATTAGGAGAGAGTGGGGTAAGTTGAGCCACCCCCTGTTGCTTGGAAATGGTAAAAGAAATTGATCATGTGACCAAATATTTAGGAGATGGGCATCAATTCATGGAGTCTGTGAAGGTTAGAAGCTCATGGGTGAAGGGGTTAGACATTTATTTTAAAAAAAAAACATTTTTCACTCTTGAAAGTGAATTTAGTCTGTCAAAAATTTTATTAGAATTGTGTTCAGACCAAAAAAGATCATTTTAAATTTGTTTTACACATCAATTGTGGTATCTATGAGCTACAACATGAGGTCAAAAACCTGACATATAGTCTACCATTTTAGCTTAGAGGACTAATAAAGTCATTATAGTAGTTCTGGGGTAAGATGAGCCAGTGGTTCAACTGAAAAAGTACATGAGTCTGATGAGAGGATCAGAGTTTCAGTTCAGATTGTTGAAATGTTTGACTTTTTCTTTTAAAAAATACAGCTGTGAATGTTCTGAATCACTAAAAGACATTCTCATGTTAAAATGACTTTTTACAAAACAGCTTTTTAGCAGGTATATGCAATTATAATAATAAAAAGAATGACTTTACCAGTTAAATAGTGTATAATAGATAAAAATACACATGAATGTGAAGAAGTGACTGTTATTTAGAGAGAGAGATGGTGAGGGAGGGCTGTGGCCACAGGAGACCACCTTTTTAGCATGCTATATTATCAAGACAGTTTTGTTTACACTCATTCTGTTGGTTTGCAGGGATGCACAACATCTTGAAATATATGTAGATACAATAGTTAGAGACCAAAACTATGATTGACTTGATGGAGTGATCTGAAATATGAAAAATTGGCTCATCTTACCCCACTCTCCCCAATCTGTTACATTCTCTTGATTCTTCTCTCAGTTCTTTTTTTGTAAATACTTGATTCAAATACAAACATGGTTATACAAATTTGACATCTTTAGAGCTAAAAAATACAAAGTAGTTTTGTAAGCCTTCTGACTGTACTCAATCAATTATTGGCCAAGTTATTTAGTTGCAAAAAAACCCAAAATTCTGTCTCTAATCTTCTTCAATTTAAAACCATAGATAAGTGGGTTCATTAGAGGAGGAATGACAAGAAACTCTATTGAAATAAAGTTTTGGATAGTTTGTGATATATTTTTAGACCCATATCTGACATACATAAGATCAAAAAGAATAGTCATAAGAAAAGTCAATAGTGAGATAACATGAGGCACACATGTCTGCATGAACTTTGCTCTGTTTTCTATAGAATTCACACAGGTTTTGATGAGATACATGTAGGACCAAACTATAAAAACACCATGAAGAACATATACAACTAGGACCCCGTTGGGGCACTGGCGGGCCCGAGCCGTGTCGCGTCCCCCCCCCCAACGTGCTGCCTCCCCGTCCCATTTGTGTCCTCTGGCCATCGCCCTCTCTGGTAACGCCCATCACTGCAAAGACCCTTTTCCTTCATCGGCGTTTGCTGTTCTTCCTGCCAGTGCGTGTTGCTTTCACTTACACTTGCCACAGCCAGCCTCGTGAGTGCCTAGCCTATTGGATATCACTGTCACCTACACAGGACAGTCATTACCTTTCTATTAATACTTTGTGTTTTAATTTCACATTAATTTCCATATTGTATAAACGACTGGAAAAAACTTGAGCCCCTGCCCCTGTATAATCATGTGCATGTCTCTGTTCTAGCTCCAAGGTGAATCTTCACTGCTCATGTTCTCCTCAGAAGCACTCACCTCACTCCCCTCAGGTTACTGTACACATGCACCAACTGCCTGCTTCAGGTTTGGATGGAGCTTCATGGTTGTCTTTTGGAGAAATGAGCAGTCAAGTTGTGTTTGAAATTTGATTTTTTTCAGGGGCAAAAGGAGCCTCTGCATTTTTGTCAAATATGTAAATAGCATGTTTTTGCAGGTGCTAAAAACCAGACTCTGAGTGTGTGTGTGTGTGTGTGTGTGTGTGTGTGTGTGTGTGTGTGCGTGTGTGTGTGTCTGTGTGTGCGCTCAAGTCACATGACATATTTAACCGGATGTAGCTGCAAGACGGAGCCTCGTTGACTCTCCGTTTCAACTTATCTCAAAAGTGAGGACCTCAACCTATATACCAGTTTTTAAATTGTGTTGATAGGCCAAATAAAACCAGAGTTATGATAAATTAAGTCCGCGATACTTTTTTTCTGCTTATTTTGATCACGTTCGGCGCTCGATCGCGCTGTATGAGACAGGAAAACATAGCATGCAGACATTAGCGACAGGTCTTACAGGCGGAAAAGGCTTGCCAAATAAAAAAAAAAACACACCACAACATCTCTCCTATTGGTGGAAAACTTCACCACAACAACCAATCCAAAATTATATGGTGACTGATTGACAGAGGCGGGCGCTTACGTTCTTCCTGCAACATGAAAAGGGAGGGAGGGACTCTCAGCAGGGATGCAGTCTGGGACACGTAGTTGCAAACCTAGCGACTTTGTTGTTAGATTCAATGACTTTTCAGACACCCTAACGACTATTTTTTAGAAAGAAAGGGACTTTTATCGACTTCTTCTGGAGTTTAGAGACTCTGACATGAAGCAGGCTTTCCTTACTGAGGAGTTAGCAACGCTGCTAAGGGTGCAGAGCCACACATGCGCTCAGAGCTCTGCATGGGAGACTGAAGCTGACAGAGCTGCAGCAGTTAGCAGGTTTCACCCTCAGAGACCACCAGGGGTTCATGTTGAGGCATTTTAATTTTTTTTTTTTTTGTGTGCCATAGACACTGTCAGCACAATCTGCAGTTACACTAACAAAAATGCTGCAAAAAACAAAGAATTATGGAAAAATTACACATGGACTGACATAGAGGAGGATCTACACAAGTTTTTTACATCATGTTTTACATCATGCATCATTTACATCATGTTTTTTTGTAGTGGCATAAATAAAAAGTGACATTTGTGAGACTATACAGTGTTTTGTAAATAATTTTACAAAGAACGCCTGGGCCATTGCCTGCATTTTGATGTAAATAGAGGTAAATTACTATGTTCTTTGTTAAAAATTTGCATATGTTTTGAAGTTTACAATTTTTATTTGAAGTTTAAGTTTTAAAAACAGTTCATCACACATATTTGTGGTTTAATTTCACATTAATTTCCATATTGTATAAATGACTGGAAAAAACTTGAGCCCCTGCCCCTGTATAATCATGTGCACGTCCCTGTTCTAGCTCCAAGGTGAATCTTCACTGCTCATGTTCTCCTCAGAAATAGTCACCTCACTCCCCTCAGGTTACTGTACACATGCACCAACTATCTGCTTCAGGTTTGAAATGGAGCTTCATGGTTGTCTTTTGGAGAAATGAACAGTCAAGTTGTGTTTGAAATTTGATTTTTTTCAGGGGCAAAAGGAAGCCTCTGCATTCTTGTCAAATATGTAAACAGCATGTTTTTGCAGGTGCTAAAAAACAGACTCTGAGTGTGTGTGTGTGTCTGTGTGTGTGTGTGTGTGTGTGTGTGTGTGTGTGTGTGTGTGTGTGTATGTTAGCGTGTGTGTATATGTGTGTGTATCCTGCAGTACTCTGTACTCCTGCAGTGGCCAAAAAGACTTTTAAGAATGTGGATTTTTGGGTCATCTTTGGCGCCCCCTAGAACTGCAGTACTCTGTACTCCTGCAGTGGCCAAAATGACTTTTAAGAATGTGGATTTTTGGGTCATCTTTGGCGCCCCCTAGAACGTAAACCGTGGGGTGCAGCGTCATGATTTTTACAACTTTGAATGGGCATGGGGTGTAGATTGCCCTGAGCAAATTTGGTATTGGTGGGACGAAAGCCTTAGGAGGAGATAGCCACATTCCAATGTGTGCGAATCGGCAAAAAATGCAAAATAGCCCTTTAACCGTACATTATACAGATACGCGCTCTTTGACTTTTTCGTAGATCTAATTGAGATACACATGATTGTCAATTTTTGTGTCAATATGACAAAGCGTTCAGGCGTGACAC